CTTTTACTACACACACACACACACACACACACACACTACACACACACACACATCTTTATATAATAGCCTGTATAGTCGAAAGTTTCGCGTGTAAAATAATTATTTACGTGTGATAGTGCGTGAAATTATGGTATTTAACCTCTTACGCTTTGTGATTTCACGGTACGGTGTAGTATCAGCATGAAAAAAAATACTGTGTAATTTCTTCATTGAGTCTCTATCTGAAATGACATCGCGTAATTTTCCGAGTCCGTCTGGGCGCTGCGAGAAAACTTCGTCCAGAGGAAATTTAATTAATCCTTCGGATAATGCACAGCTGCTAACGCACAAAGTATATATTTCGCTGTTAACTTGAAAATGCGACATCAGAGCTAAATAAAATTATTTTGCAAACTTTTTCACACGATATTTTTCCAAAGCACAGTGGCTGATCTCGCCATATAAATCTCTAATTAGCTCGCAGATAAATCCATTATAAGTTACCGGGCTGCTTGAAATTTGACGATCAATTTACATTCGTTAAAACTTTTCGAAATTCCTGCCGTAAGGTCGTCGCGATTCCGTGACTTTGTCTACGTCACTCTGTAAAATCCTCCGAGACAAGGATATTTGCATGGATATAATAATAACAATAATTATGCATGAATAGAATCATTAATGACTGGGCTCGTATGGGATTGTATTTCCATAAAAGTATTTTCTACGTGGTATTTGCGCTGGTTTGCTCAGCTTAATAAAATAGTTGTTCATTGTTAATCGAATATGCACACGCTGCAACTACAATACAGATATGATACAAAGGTCACAGAGTTCAACCCGCACGTATATGAAATTCTCCATTCGTTCTTTTTAATGCAACACGAGCGAAAACGTATGCATCGTTTATCCTACGTGGCGCATATGTCACAATACAACAATAGCGTCGAATTAATCATAATCTGGGCTGCCGTAATTCTAATTATTTCGCGGGCGCTTCAGCTATTTCGCTGCAGAGGATTTCAATTTAATTGCTACTAAAAATAAACCGACTACGCAGCTACGTTTGTGATACCGAGTGCAATTCGGGGAAACATCTTTAGTACGTGCTATTGCGTACGTGCCATGCAATTCCACTGCGGTGCGGAGAGACATTGGAGAAAGAAAAAGGAGGAAAGAGATCACAACTACGAAAAGAAAATTGCTACGATCGTTACCAATCAATCTAGTTCCTACGCCTTCGGCGAGATGTGCAAGGTGAAGGATATATATATATATATATTTATACAATACTTCCTATTTCTTATGCGCAAATAAAATGAACAGCAAAGCATTGTACTGTATTATGCGAACTAAATTTGGAACCTGGTGCGAAACAAGACGTAAAATCGTTCAATGAACGGAATGCGTGCGGAACACACGCTTGAAAACACGGAGAAAAGTTTTGTGGCAACTTGAAAGAAGCTTCGAAATGACGATAGGTCATGGACATATGACAAATTATTAATTACTTTAAAATAACGCGATTTCCGAGGTCAATTTTGCAGAAAGAGAAAATTTGTTCTGCGCTTCTTTTCCGATCAAGATATATAAAAGATATATTCGATTGGAGCGAATCATGAAGGATCGAGATCGACCTTTGTCGCGTTTCAATTTAAATCTTTGTGTTTCTTGCCACATTCCAAGACATCGCAAAATCTGGGGGTTTTGTCAAGCAAAAATTGGCTCTTTCGATCATCGAGATTTTTTCATATGAAGCTATCTGAATGCGTTCACCGAAAATCACGTGACGCGATAATTGGAAGAACTTTTTCTCCGTGGAAAGTGGATCACGTGTAGACGTGAGAGAGAGAGAGGGTGCGTTCCGGGAGAAGGGATGCAACGAAAAACGCTTCGGAAAAAAAAACAAAGCCGGGGACAACAACAATAATAGCAACAACAATAATAATAACAGCAACAGGAGGGGAACAGCGTTTTTTTCGTTGAGGGGATGAGAGACGGTACAGACCTTAAGGTCGATCGAGTGGATCGCGCCGGGATGCGGCGAGGAGTGCTCTTTCGCGTCGCTGCCGCAATTGACATTGTTGTTAACGTTCGGCAGCGAGCCGCCCGCCCTGAACTGATTTCCCAGGTTAATGTGCAGATGCTTGCCGCTGGACTGCGGTGGACTGGCGCCAGCACTCTTGACGGATAGCGGGGTCTCCGGCACGCCGGATCCCGTAGGACTCGCACCCACCGAGCTGCTCGCCGACGTCACCTGTGCAGGTCCCGTCATTGACAACGTCATGGCCACGGCAAATATTAATGATTGTAAACGATCTCTAACGACCGCATTAACCGTACGAAGATTAACACATTTGCTGTGACAAGTGTGTCGATGTGTCGGCGAAACACTAGCGCGGCTAGTGATTCCTTACAATTGTGAGGCTTCAGGACTCGGGAAACGGGACACGCGCCCTTCCCTTGTCCTCGATTCTTAGGGACGTTTTCTAAAGGTGTCTAATCATTTCGTCATGCTTCTGTTCGCGTTGTCCGAACTCAGCGGTCGCCTTTTTTTCGATTACAAACGCTCGCCTCGCGACGTAATATCGGACTTGCACGTTCCGCGGCGTAGTATCGGGCCTCCCTGTGTGGACCACGCTCCGATAAACAGGTTTTTATCTCCGTAGCGAATTTCCATTCTCCGATTGTCGAACGGTATACTAAGCAACGCTCGGTGAGCGAGGGAATTTCGGCGGCGCGCACGAAACTGTTTTCTGTATCATAAGATCCAACGAGACTCGATTTTATGTTCTTTATATCAATAGATGCGACACGAAACACGCACGAGACATGACGGATGACAATTTAGGAGCTGACAATGAGCTTAAGTCAGGAATCGGCAAATCTTTTCTCAAGAATCAAGAACCAGAATTCTTCTAAGAATCCAAGATAAACATCTTAGGCCATTTGTCAGGCCAAAAGAGGCAATAGAAATAAGAAATATCGGAATAATATTCCTATAACAAAAAAGGAGACAAATCGAATCTTTTATTAACAAGATTCAAAATAGAAAATTTACGCAAGCCATAGTTCGCCGACTCCTGTCCTAAACAATTCCGGTCTGAATAAAATCAGATTTCCGCGTGAGATCCGGATCGTTCGTTCCAGGGGGAGTTTTTGTTGCGAGATAGCATCAAGTAATCCCGTCCTTATCTCTCCGACGCGATTAGGAAACGCTCCGCTCGGCGGCTGCTTCGTTTTAACCGCACGCGGCATGCGGAGGTGCACTCGAGGACGCTAAATGCATCGACCCAACCTGGCCGACGCTCCCATTGAAAATACCTCGAGGACCGCCGGCGCTGCTATTGCGAGAGCGGCATGTTTACATGCGCATCGAGACGAATCGAACGCCGTCTCGCTCCCGACACTCGCGAGAGAGAACGCCTTTCGACACCACACACACACACACACACACACACACACACACACACACACACACACACACACACACACACACACTCTCTCTCTCTCTCTCTCTCTCTCTCTCTCTCTCTCTCTCTCTCTCATTGCAACGAAATCCAGCGTCGCGGACGGGCATTTAAATGCCGCGCTTCGAAACGCGGAACATGCCACAGACGAAAGTGAATTCAGAGTCAAACGAACGAGCGATTGTTCGTGTGAATTTCGCGCGACAGATCGATCGGTGCGTGGCATTGATCGCGCTCGCGGCCGCGCGGGAGATTAATCCGCGTCGCGTAATCGCGCGCCTGCCGCGCGGCAGCCGCACTCGGAGATGCACCGCGTCGCGTCGCGTCGACGTGCGTCTCGCGCGAGAGACGCGAGAGCACGCCGCACTCGCGCGACGGAAATTCATGCGACGTACGTATCGCGCTTCGCGATACGTACGTGTGCCAGCGACATGCATGCGACGATACGCGGCCACGCGCGCGATGTATTCGCACGACGGTCCGCACACACACACGTACACGCGCGTACACACACACACACATACGCACGCAGAGTAGACGCTTGCCCGCGGAGCAGCACGACCGAGCGCGCGACACGCATGCATGCACGCACGCACGCACGCACGCAAAAAACAGGCGAACACAAGCGCAAATCGACAGCGCGGTAAGCGCAGCGAGAAGAGACGGGGGATCAACGGAAGAAAACGACGAGAACGACAGCGCGGGAAGAGGCATCGCGGGGGCAATAGCGGAGGGAAGGGAAAGGAGGGAGGGGGATACCCGTTGTTTACGTTCTAACATCTGAGCCGAGGGAGGTGTACAACGGATCACGGCGCGATCGCGGCGCGGCGCGGCACGGCACGGCACGACACGGCACGGCACGGCCGAACTACCCACGCCAAGGAGCAATACTGATATTTCCTTACTCTATTCGTGACGTCCGAGACCTCCTTCATGATCGCCTCGAATGCCGCCGAGTCCTGCGCCTCCTTCTGATTCAGCAGCGCGATCTTTTCACTGAATTTCCGTGGGTTCGCCATGATGGCTCGCGGCACTAGTTTTTCGCGGACACTCGCGGAACCCGGAGCACCCACCACCACCACTACCACCACACCACCACCACCTCCGCCGCCGCCGCCGCCGCCGCCGACAACAACCACCACTACCGCCGCCACCGAGCGACCGCTGACCACCAGCCACCCCACGATCGTCGGCCACCGTCCCCACTTACCCTCACGATCGTTCTTCCCCTTTCTTTTATTCCCTCGCGCTTGTCGTCCCGATTGACGACGCACCGCCGCGCTCGCGGGATCTCGCACTTACGATTATCGCGCTTATTATTACCCGCGTAATCCAACGTGCGTCTCTCGGATAGCACTGGCGAACACTGATACGCAAGATCATGCGGCGCAGCGCGCCACGCGCATTGCGCAGGAACTGCAACTTCGCGGGCCAACTGGCCGCACTCGCGCGCCATCTTTCGTCACCATTCACAATGACGAATTTAGTGATTTTGAGATTTTTTTTTCCTAGATCTGTTGCAAGAACGCGAAACAAATAACGTATTTAATTTATAATTGCATTTTCGATTTGCATAATAGACATGAGTCCAATTCAAAATCGATTAAATTTGAAAAAAAAGCGATCACTCTCACTCTCTCTAATTAACTATCAGCTGATTAAATTTAAGAATTGCCAACTACTAAAATTTAAAATTGATCACATTTGTTTTTTAATTATTTTAATTAAAAGTATTATTTAATTGTTATTTAAAATTTTATATTTTACATAACTAAATTATAATCTTCAGACAATAGAAAACGCAAAATGACACGATTTTAAGTTTTGCAATTGGCAATTCTTAAATTTAATTAACCGATAGGGTTAATCAACGAGTGAGACCATAAGGAATAAAAAATTATAAAATAAATATTAAAAACAGAGAAGATAATCAATACGTTTCAACATATAAGAATTCATGTTCTAATACACGATAAAATATCCAAGCATTCTTTCATTGATTAAAAATAATATTCCATAATTTTTTTATATTTGATTATTCCTTATTTTCGTTTATTGTGTCCGAATAGAATTTTCAATTGTTCAATTAAAAATATTCAATTAAAAAAGAACAGTATAAAATAATTAATACATTATTGTGAAATAATTTTTATATAATAATCTAAATATAATTAGTTTAATTATAACTTTAATAATCTAAAGCAAATCATATGATATCATTAATTATTTTTAGAGTGATCAAAAGCTATATGCAATCAATAACACTATTCAGATCTGGCTGGATTCCGTAAAGTTCATATGCATATATTTATCTATACTTCATGTTACATATATTTTAAAAATGTTGCGCATATGCGCTTTGCAAAATTCATTTATATTTCTTTATATTCCTACCATTTTGCTACGTACATGCGCAGTACGTAACTTAAATAAAGATAAAGATATCACTTAACATGCTCTCTCTTGGATCACTCTGGCAACTACTGTATAACAGCGCTGAAATATTATTATATTTTAGTGGTTAAGACGCGTTTATGTATCAGTATTTATTAATTTTAATCTCAGTTTAATATATTTTTTGTCTTTTTTTAATTCTTTAAATTAGAAAAGACAAAAAAAATACATAAAATCGAGCTTAAAATTAATTTGCATTGATGAATAGCACTGATCAGAGTGTGTTCAATGAACATTCAATCATTATGCAATTGTTGTGTCTTCTGAACATACCTACTGGAAATAACTCATTCACTTGCTAAGAATAGAGAAGGAAAGCATAAAATGTGGAAGCATAAAAAAAGATATAAATATGCTAACACGTACCATATAAGATTAAATACGATGTAAAATCTAACATTAAGTTCTACAAGGTGTTTTCATGAATTTTTATTTTCCTTAAAGAAGTCTAAAGAAGGGATGATTGAGATACAATTTTTTCCTGAAACATGATACATGTTTACTACTTTCCTCATTCCATCTCATATCGAGGACGATGTTTGTGGCAACAAGTATCTACACTTAGCAGAAAAATTCATCGCGCAACATCGATAAGTTTTAATTAGCCTAATTGTGCAAGAATAATAATATATTAAAAATTGTCTTAAAAATGGCAAAAATCAGTGAAGACTTGTATCTGGAACATATTCCATCAGCAATGTACAACAAATTAATTGACGAGTTAAATAAAAATTCAAGTTGGCAGGTGTTAGCTTGTCATGTAGCCGAAGAATTGGGATACCATCAGTAAGGAAAAATACTTCTGATGAGTATACTAAAAACTAATCGAATTTATATATTTGTCATGCTCTTAGGAATTCGTGGTTGCAGTCCTTACAACGGAATACTGATGCTACAAAGACACCAGCTGATAATCTATTGTTTGAATTACATATTAAAATGTGTACAGTTGGAATATTATGCATGTTGCTCAAGGATTGTGAACTTGGTAATGTTTTATCGGTTTTACATAATCCAGGTACATATCTACTTCTTTCTAGTTGAATTCAAATTATAAACAAAATATTCTATAATTATGTTTGATTTTTAATGAAATTATTATTAGAGCCATCAGTAATCATCAAACAACCGTCTGATGATCTGGAACATGATACCCTAGAAATATCCTTTGGTCAACACCTTCATCTTTCTTGCAAAGCTACAGGCATACCATCACCAAATTATCAATGGTATCACAATAATGTTGAGCTGCAAGGACAACAAAGTTGTGAGCTTGACATCATTATAAATAGGTAAATAATATATCTATAAATTTGTGATGAAACAAATTGATTGATCTTATTACATGAGTTTTTATAGCTGCGATCAAGCTGGGGAATATAACTGCAAGATATTCCAAATCGCCAATGATGAAAAAACAATGATCTCTGTATTGTTAACGAGATCAGTCTTTGTAACTCTATCTCGTGTACCTGTAGTTATACAACAGCAACCACCAGTTTTCTTAAAACTTAAGGAAAATGAAGATTTAATAATTAAATGTATAGCACATGGTCATCCCGAACCATGTTATCAATGGTTCAGAGATAATACAAGGCTAGAAGGAGAAACATCCAATATCTTACATGTAAGTATATAACATCAGCAATAGAAAGGATAGTATTTTATAATAAGACAAAAAATGTTCTAGATAAAGAAATTCAGCTCCAAATATGAAGGAAAATATTATTGTTACATAAGTAACAATGTAAATGAAATAATTACTCACAGATGTCATGTAATGGTAAAAATCACATATCTAATTTTTTATTTCACAAGAATTATGAAGAAATTATTAAATATTCTGATAATAATACATATTTGTGATGTAGATTGATCTTCCACGTGAAAAGGCAGTTGCAAAAATAGCTTTGATTATTGCAAATGACAATTATGAAAATCAGACACGTCTCGAAACTCCAAAAAATGATGCTGCAAACATTGGTAATTTGTTGAAGGAGATAGGTTTTAAAGTAATCTGTCTTATAAACTTGTCACTTGAACAGATGAGGAATGCCATCAAGATATTTGGTGATGTTTTAACAGAAGGAGTTTATGGTAAATTATTACAAATGTATATATGCACTACATGAAAATATAATACACTTACAAAAACTTATGTTAATGTAGGATTGTTCTATTATGCTGGGCATGGTTTTAAAATGCAAGAAAGTTACATGCTTGCGGTTGACGCACCTGGGTCTTATTTAAGAACAGATGCAATTTGTGAGAGTGAATTGTTAGCTGTATTATTGCAAAATGATCCTGCTCTTTTAGTAACGATATTGGATATGTGTCAAACTGTGCCACCAAAGTAAGGATTTTTACAGTTATTTTTTTATGTTTACATCCTATTTATATATTACTATCCTATATATATATATATATATATATATATATATATAGTGATATACTCCTAATGTGTACTAATGTATAATTATAATAATAATATATTATATAATTATACATTAGTACACATTAGAAAATATTAAGAATTTTAAGGATAAAAATTAATAGTTGAATATTTAGGCATTTAAATATATCTCAAATAATTTTTTTACAGACAGTGTAATCCTGATATTCATAATGAAATACCAAAAATCAAAGAATATAAGGGTAGAAAAAACTTACGAAATTTAGTTCAAGCATATTCCACATCTAGTTACCGGCCTAGTTATGAAAGAACGAATAGCAAATACGGATTGTACGCGCTGCATTTGAGTAAATATATCAATAAAAATATTCCAGTCACAAAAGTATTTGAAGAAGTAGGAAAATGTAAGATATAAAAAATTTATCCACATTGTCCCAATATTTTTTAAGTTGTAATTTAATTAATTTACATTTGCAGCAATAGATAGATTGTTGAAAGGAACAGAGCGCAATCAAATTCCAATGTTTGCCTTAACCATCACTAAACCTTTTCGTCTTACTGACGCAATTTATAAAAGTAATTATCAAAATTTGAATTAAATTTTACAATATAGATTAGGTATTCCTAATGTGTTTTCTTGTTGTGTTTGATATTTTAGGGGATCCATCACCTGCATTGAATCGTTTTAATAAACTCATAGCTTTTTCAAATAAATCTTTGGAAATAAGTTTCAAAAAAGCTAATATTTCCGCCAAAGTCGTTATTTCGTTACTTATGGAACCTTATTTGAATGTAATCAAAGTTTCAGTATATAATTTAGAAGGTCTGGAAATCAGGTTTTTGAATTCTATATCTACAAAACAAAATAATTTGTTCCAAGCTGCAGGTTCCAAACAGGAATGTTGGATACATAATCCACAAATATGTCAGGTATCTCAAAACATAACATTTTATCGTTTATAAAAAATATGTTTATATTATAAAAAATTTTATTTCATTTCATTTTATTTCATTTTTCAGGAAGGTTTGGTTATATCCCTTTTAAAAAATGGAACTTGCATTGGCGCAGTACTATTGCCCATTAAAGATTATATTCCATTAATATTAGAAAGTATCAATAACTAATATGTAGCACAGAATATATAAACTTAATATTTAATTATAAACAAAATGTAATTTATATGTACATATATAAAAACATGATATAATGATCTTTTGTATCCCAATCTTTTTATCAAAAAATATATAATGTTATATTTTAGATCATATTATTATATAAACTCTTCTAGAATATTAAATCTGCTTGTGCGAAAAACGATTGCCTAATATCTGTAAAGTAATGAAAAATTAAATATAACAATCCTTTCTTATTTTTAACAATGGATGATTGACACTCCTTTTTCTTATAGCAACAACAATGACTAAACAGATTAACATGAGTTTTATTTCAAACTATTTTGTAAATGTATATAGATATCTATTATGGATTGATACTGTAATGATTTACAAAAGTTGCAATCCATGGACCACCAACATTATTTACATATTTACGGACAAATGTATAATTACATATTAAGAACTTTCCGCGTTGAAAAAATTGTGTAACAGACATCATATCCGTCTTTTTTTCGTTGCCAAGACCTGGTATGTACTGACAAATTGCTTTTACTTCGATGGAATGCTCCTCTCCTACAAATGAAAGATGTCTATATTTAAAAAAGAATTAATAGAAAAGCATAGATTTTTTCCAAGCATATTGGAACAAAATCTTATGTCTCATTATATTTTTGTGAATTTTTGTGAATATATATTTATTTCATTTGTTTTCTAGGAGCTTTAGTAATTTATTAGAAGATGAACTGAATGCATCTTCTGTACAGTTCATATTTTTTATGATCTCTTGTACATGTTTTTATAAAATGCTTATTTAATAATATTAAATTGCTTATGAATTTAACAATGTTACAATGTTATAAATTCCATGTTACAATTTTTTAGTAAAAATACTGTGTCTTGAAATCAAATAATTGATATATACATAAAAAACCAGATACATATAATTTCATAAAAGTATAATTAAATATAAGCGTTTGTTTTAATAATCAGAGTTATCTATGTTTATTTGTTATAAATATTGATCGCTATTTAAGTGTTGAAATATTATCTTGACAAAAATGTATTAACGCATAAGCATAATAGAATGAAAGAGAGCAAATTATAAAGCAATAGTCAAAACTTCTAACGTATAACTTAGAACATCAAAATATGAAATAAATTATAGAAATAAATTCTTCTTTTATGTTCCAGTTTTCTCTTCTTTTTTCTTTGTTCCTATTTCTCCTCTCACACTTCCTCTCATGTTTTTGTCAAAATATCGAACAAGAATTGCTATTCTATTACCTGTTGTATGAACTGCCATATCACATAAGACAACAAATCCATCTTCCTCATTTACTGCAATTAACCGCTTCTGTGCAGAGTTGAAAGTATTAATCTTTGCTCTTAAAGTTTCTATCACATCATCTGTTACAAGGCCGTCTAAGGAATCGTAATCTTCCTTGGCTAAAGCTTTAGATATTACCGTTATTGCCTGAAAATGCAAAAATACGATTATCGGCATTCAAACGATACCGTTGCATGTATCTAATCAGTCAGAAAAATGTTCATACATGTTTAATTCCTTCTAGGGTCTCGCTTAGAAGAAATTCTTTATCTATGCTTGGAACTTTCATAAAAGTCAAATACAACATGTGAATGGTGTCCGTAAAAGACGGGAGAAATACTTTGACACCGTCCACGAGTGTCGGCAGGTTAAAATCATTTTCGGAATCGGTGCAATAAATTCTACGGGCCGCAAAACTCTGGAGCGAGGCAGACAGCAGATTCGACTCGTTGCATGATTGCGCGAGCTTACTCCGCGTTTTGTCTCTGTAAGTGATGCACGCGGCAATTTGCCGTAAACTACACGACGTACTTCTCCTAATTGCCGAAACTAACATCGCAATTCGCATAAAATAACATACAAAAGCCTTCTGCGGATGGGTGCAAAATCGCGGAGCATGAGAAGTTTTTCTAACCTATTCTTCGTAGCATCGAGAGAAGGTTCATGTAATAACATCTGTGAAAATTTATTCAGAATCCTCCCTGATATGTTGCTATTGATGATGCTGAGCGATACGTATACGTTCCGTAATGTGTGCTTCACCAAAAAGTATTTATTATCTCGTGATTATTCTCAAAAAGCTTTTGTAATTGGCGCCAATTAAAGACACTATTTGTGTGCATTTAAAAAGTGACTATGGGTGTGGGAAGTTACTACACTATCAACGTTAAAAGCGTACATTATGGCCGCGATCCGATTTACACTCAAAACACTATTGGCTATCATTCTATCCTTGTTTTACGTCTAATGAAAAATAAAGATGGAGTGACGTCAAAGCGATTTGAATATGAATGAGACCGCGGCTTCTTTTTTATAAATTCAATAACGGATGTGCTGGTGATAGTGTCTGGGAGTTTTGACAAATGACACCCGATTGCTCACATTGCCGATTGAGCGGTTAAATATTAGATCTTTTAATAGGTGATCTATTAGAAAATTTTTAAGCACCGACCGATATGAGCGGACGTGTCCAGCTGCAACGTGGTCAAACGGGATGTTTTGACAGTTCCACGAAAAAGGCAGGGATAACCATCTAGCCTCTTCAACACTCTATAATTTTTATTCGAAATATTTTTTCTACATAAATATATTTGTCATTTTTCTTTTTTTAATGTTTGCATATATCTGTCTCTCGTTTTAAATGTAAAAAAAAACGGGAGGATCTCGTTGGCGCACATTTTAATAGCACACATCCACTCATATCAGCCAGTGTACAGGAATTTTCCAGTGGACTACCAATCAGAAAATTTCATATTTAATTCGCTCATTAGTGACGTGTAAAATCATGCTTTTTGAACAAACTTAATTCTAAGCGTATCAACATAACCAAACACTGAGGTTGCGTAGTGTTTTAAAATCAACGCAAGAAAATCATATTATTCAAGTATAAAAATAATAATTTAAAAAAAATTGAAGTTTGAGAGAGCAGATATGAGATTGACATCCAGTTTGTTAAGACGCGTAGGAGAATGGTCTAAGAAATATTCAAATTTACCGGACAGTTACATAAACCGAGCAATGCGACAGGTTTGTATTGATTCTCAAATTGTTTAAAAAACGAAACAACGTATGTTACATTTGCAAAATTTAAGAACAATTTTCATATAAATCTACATATAAATGTTTTACTTTATTTCAACAAGTTGTGATACTCTCAATAAAAAATAGAAAGTAAACATTTTAATTGAATTAATTCAATTAAAAATTAAACATTAATTTATCAAATACTTGAATTATTTTGTTAACATGGATAAAATTATTAACTTTTATTTAATAAATGAGAAAAATAATTTGATAATAAACTATATATTTTGAAATTATCCTTTAAATGAAATTATGCTTCTATATCAGTTATATTAATTGCTAATTAAATTAATGTAATCAAAGTTCAATCAAAATCACCTAATGATAAAATGATCTTAATAAGTTCTTTATCTTGTTATCTATTAATTTGGACATGTATTATTTACCAATACAATCAGGTTTATTGGAGAACACCTAGTAAGCCAAATTATTTACCACGGACAATTGAGAGGAAACAATTTCGTTTTTCAATCTATCGTCCATGGACTACTGAATTTCATTATGACAATGCACCTGGTAAAAAGCAAAAATTTATTCATGTTGAACCTATTAAGGATTGGAGTTTTTTCCGTGGTGATAGGGTATGTCATTTTAGAATTTTTCATAAGAAGAAAAGAAATATTTAATATTATTTTAATATATAAATTTAATATTATTCACATTTTCTAATTTTTCTAGGTAGAAATTTTAGTAGGAAAAGATAAAGGGAAACAAGGGATTGTAAAAGAGATTTACCAAGAAAGGAATTGGGTAATCGTTGAAGGACTCAATACAAAATTGATAAAGAACATGAAAAATAAAAATTTTCCTGGTATATACATGCAAAAGGAACAACCACTATTGGTATCCTCGCAAGTGCAATTAGTTGATCCTTCTGATATGTGAATATTGTTTATTTGAAGAGTATATTTTACAACAATCAATATGTAACCAATGTTTAATATAAATGGAATCATTGCAGGCAAGGGACTGCAATAGAATGGCGATACACGGAAAGTGGTGATAAAGTACGCGTATCTGTAAGATCTGGCAGAATAATTCCTATTCCTATTTCGAGTAAAGAAACAATAGATTACAAACTCCCTCAGTTATATCAAGAGCAACCGAAGGATACGACGAAAGCTGATGTAGAGAAAGTGACTTTTGCAGTATGTAAAATATGCAATGTCTCTAATTTATCAATATTTTTTTTATCTCATTAAACTTCGATTGGAAAAATTAATCAAAGTTCTGATATTGAAAGTGACACAAATAATACATAAAAATGTACGAAATAAAAAATTAGACCTCTTTTATTTACAGCCGGCGTTAAAGACTTTCGAGATGGATATCATGGAGCAAATGGGTATTAAAGAGGATCGTGTTCCAAAGAAATTTTATTGGTATTAATCATTGTTATATACAATTCGTTGTTATTTTCAATGTACAATTATAATATTAATAATATATTAAGCGAACAAGGGGATTGGAACATAACTTTCCAATATAACTTGTATGTAAGAAAACTCACATCGTAATCCTTTTTAAACAAAAAAAATTGCGGAGAATTGATTTTGCAATATAACTCATATTTTAATCGATAGTTTCAACTTTCTTTTTCTTGGGATTCTACATCTTTGAACAAAAACTACATTATAAGGTGTCCCTGTTTGCAACGCTCTCTATAGGAAATACATAATAAAACGAGCACTTATAACATTAAACAATAAAAGACAACGAACAATTCAGTGCTTTACATATAACGAATTTACATTGGATTAAAATATGTAATAATATTGATTAGTATCTCAATCAAGTTTCCTTGTTTTATGTTAAATCATGTCACTCGCACATATCACAGCACAGAATTTTAATAAATGCAAATCCCAAAAACGCTTTACGCGCATTACATTTAAATATATATTCCGATATATTCTTTTATATTAATATTCTGTTGTGTATGACACTTTTCCCTTGACTCGAAGCATTTGTAATTCCAATTGCAATTGAGATTGAGCCAATGTTTTGATATTGCTGGATATTTATGACCATATGGAAGCAAAAGGCGGGAGGATGGAACGCCTCTTTCGAATATTCGAAGCAAGAGAGTTTTTTTTTATAGCTGCACTACAATTATACTTTCTATACTAAAAATAAGATAGCCGCATAATCAGATGTTGCAGAGAAAGAAAGAAAGGACATAAAAATTCAGTTACAAAGAGAAACCTTTCGATCTAATGTTCGAACGCTCGAAATTAAGAATATTGGCATATTACGTAATGTAATTTCTTCTTTACAGCTCCTCTTGTATTTGTTATCCTTTCTCCTTTTCTTTCTGACGACTAATTATACGTTTATTTTGTTCTATAGAAAGTGTAACATAATGCGACCACAAAGAGCAGTAAATGTAAATTTAAATTGAAAAATTCCACTTATATTCCACTTATATATTCCACTTATATATTCAAAAGCACAACTGCTCACTGAGCTCATGCACTGATTGGTATATTCTTTTATATCTAAAAAAATATACCAATCAGATGCAAGCGCTCAGTGAGTGTAATTGTGTTTCTGAACGCATCCGGTCAATTTGAAAAAGATGACCACCGCGAAGGAGCACGCCTTTACGTGAAGTGCCGGTTTTTGATTGTCATCCCACATTTTCTCCGTACTTCCGGATATTTCCAATCGAGATCGGTAAGTCGTGTTTTATTCCATGCATTTTTAAGAATATAGCAAGGGAAAACGTAATGATTGAAAAAAAAGCGCGAGGCAAGGGGAAGTCACAATGGAGATATCGTTTCTAACCATCATTTTTTTCCCTTCCTTCGGATCCCAAAATATCTTGTCTGAAATAATTATTTTATATTTTGTCTCAAATTAATCAAAATAACACGAAGGAGAAAAAAAGGTTTATTTTTTTTAGCTGAATTTCTTGCACGGCTCATCTTTCTTCTTTTCCTTTCCGTGCTGGAGAAAAAAAGAGAAAAGATGAACGATGCGAGAAGTTCAGCTAAAAAGAATAGATTTAGAATTTCTCGAATATTTAAAAAGAGTGAACAAAACAGCGTTTCGTTCGTAATTAGGCATTTTGTATACCGTCGCCGGAATATTAGATTCATCGATCTCGATTTCTTTAAAAGGCTAATATTTCATGTAATGTACAACAAATTTTTCGAATTGATTGGTTAGATGAAAAAAACAAAAACTTAAAAAAATTTCATACGACCAATGAAATATCAACTGTACGCGCGAGCTTTTTGCGCTTTTGTAACGGAAGCCACTGGAGAACCAGGCAGGATTTAATTCGCACAACACTCGATTATAGATTTCGCAATTAGTACCGGCCTATGTTTTCTTCGTACCACGATTAAGTTGAAAGTTTATTGATTATTATAGACTGCTTGGCCAAGTAACACTAAGATGCTCTTTTTTTTTTTTAGCACAAACTTGTTCTGCACGTAATTACATTGCGTTAAGGACGATTTTAATCAAACTCCGATTAAGATAATCAACGAATTAACTTATCAAACAATATCGTTTTGTTAACATAGATAATGTTTTTTGTTATTTAATAGATAATAGATTTAATAGATAGAAATAGTATATAGAGTAGGATAATTGGAAAGGAAGAATAGGAAAGAGAATAAAATAATTTATTTTTTGTTTAATATATGAAAAAAAGATTAGATTAGAAATAATGAATTTTGTAGTTAGAAATTTTGTAGAAAGCAATTATGTTGGTTGAAATAATTACTGATTATAATTATATTATTCTGGGTTAAATTAAAATCATAATTTAAGTTAATTGATTTATGAAGTTAATTAATTTATGAAGTAGTATCTATTGTACATTTTTTAACATAGAATAATTGACTTTAATTATTTAATGCATATAAAGAGAGTAGAATAGAATAATTGAAATAAGAAGTACATAAAAGAAATAGATTGAATTTTTAACATAAAGTTTTAAAAATTAAATTAGTAAGTTATAATGAATTATAATGAATATAATGAATATTGTCAGAAATTGCATTATATTTAAGCGATTTTGTCAGTTAAGTTAATCACTGTTTTAATTAATTTGAAT